TCAAAAACAGCGCGGTACAGCATGTGCAAGAGAGATGGGTGACAACTTCGCCGAACAGAGCGGGTTAGTGAACCAGGCTCTCTCGCTCGCGCATAGCGACACGTGGCAGTTCGACGACCTCGCTTACACGTGTATGAGAACTGTGGCTCTCGAGGGCATTACTATCCCGTACGCAAATGATTAGAAACAAAAGAACAACCGCAGCGAACATGCAATCAGTCCGACGGCGAGAAGAATGGGCATTATTTTTGTTTCCGGAGGAAATTCGCCACGAAAATGGCTTTATTACGAGTTCAAACATATAATAACTTTCACTATGAGGCTACGAATAGAATTGAACCAATTTAACCGCCAACCGCAGCAATATGAAAGTTAATTTCGAGTAATAATGTGCAACCGAGCAGAGTGAAGATTCGTCGAAATTGAAATGTTATTTGTTTTGAACAGCGCGCAATTTCAAAATATTTTGTTTTTCATCAACTGATTGTGAGAGCTGCAAGGTTTCGGTGTAGATGTAGATTGTAACAAAGATACCCTGGCACTTACACTCGCGCCCAGCAGCTAGAAGAGTTTATTAGAGATGTAAATGTGGTGGTAAAATACGCTCGCTTTCAAGTATTGATCAACGCGCGCGGCGCACCGAGTGCGCGAGAGAACGGCGTTCGGTTAACCTCGGCGCACCAGCCGAGCGTTCGAACTGGGTCACCAAGCTCATACACGTGTCCGCTTTTGGCCTTGGCTTACATGCAGGATTATCTAAGAAAACCGCCACAATCCTAGCTAAGATCGTAGTGAAAATTAATTCCGCACTAATTTCCATAATGTGAAAAGAATCCCATGTGTATGCAACCCACATTGCCACAAAGAAGAAAACACTATTGGTGTTAATATTCAAAGAAAAAAAAAAAAGAAAAAATAGAATTATTTGTAAATTTTAAAGATTTACCGGAAAATAACGTTGAAATAAATAATAATAGCTTACTTTTTTATTGCGGGTAAAGTAGTACTTGTTTGTATGAAGATAAATCGATGTAATTGGCGGAAGATGTGAAGATGGACGAAGAACAATGCGCTCACAACGACGTCACAACAACAACTGGCAGCGCTAGTGCTACCTCGCTAGCTCACTAACTCTTCGTTCGCATTGCGCGCGTTGCTCGCGCGATTTTAGGGGGCCGCGCCGACGATGACGACTGCGCGAGGAGAAGAACGGAGACAAAGTGCTCGCTCGGAAGCTCGGAAACTCGCGATGTCGACAAATCGTCATCAAAAAGTACCAACTCGTCACTGCCAGCAAACAAAACATTAAACATTTGCGACGTAACAAAGAGATTTATAACCCTTTTTTCATTCCCAGTTAAATGTATACAATTACCAGCAACAGAACTTCACGTAACTATCAATTATTTCAATGTTCAAAAGTTGACAAGTATCACATTTAAAAATTTAAATTTATTTAGGCGCGAAACGTGCGCACCGTTTATACGTTTACGATCACTACGGTAGTAAGCACGCTCTGAAACTTGTGCTGTGGCACAACGCGATGACGAATCAATAGAATGGTACGGTCACAGTCTAAACGATGAACTAGTTCGCGGCGCGCTCGTTTTCGGCACACGGAGAGAACAAAAATTCGCCGCACAAATTCACCTTATTTTTTATTACTACGTGTGCGTCTTCAAAAGCCTGCTGCTCGACGTTATTTATTTACGATGCACGCTTGGATTATTAATGCGGATTAACGATTCACGTTCGTCTTGTTTCTTGTTCTTGTACATGTTCCATACTCGACCGCGAAATGTTTTCCTCGACTATTTCGACTTGTGCTTTGTTTTATGTTCAGTCAATGATGGATGAACAAAGAAAAACCAAACACAACGCACAATAAGCAATGATATATTCTGTCAGTGAATTGCTCGAAAAGAAATAATGAATATAAAAAAAGAGCTTAGATAGCAGTTGAAAATAAAATAGGACCACGATCAAAACTTTCTTTTTTACGAGTGCGCGCGCGCGCCTCTTGAGAATACACTTTCACTGGGAGAAAATTTCTCACTTGTTTTCAAACGCAGCGTAACTATTAATCAAGTAAATTACCTTCTCGCAAGGGTTCTACCCACGTTGTTAAAGTCTTTATTATTCATAGAGCTGGTTTTCTATGCATTGCCAAGTATTATTTTTGCTGATTCAGTGCGCGAATTGATTTACACACCGAAAATGAAAAATTTGATGAGTGTACCAAAGTGAAAAATTGAATATAACATGCGTGTTGTGTTGTAGAACACAGTAGCAATGCAATAACAATAAATCAATTTGATAATCGAAGCGGAGGACAGTTTGCCGTGCGTGCCGGAGTGGAAGAAAGACCGCGGGTCGCGCACGTGTACCCGCCTCTCTTCGGCAGTGAAACGCGCCCTCCGCCGCCGCCACCGCCGCCGCGTAGGGATCAATAGGGATGGCCCAGTTGGCGGCGCGTCGGGCGCGGCCATTGCGGGCGCCGGGGAAAGCCTCCCAGCATTGATTGACCCACTGACCCCGATCGTCTCCTCCACGCGCCCAATTGTTCCTATTAATACTATTAATAGCACCCACACCTATGCGATGTGGCAATAAAGTGTACTTACGTACATTACGCATCACATACGCCGCGTAATTAGCGCGTGTTGTCTTATCTTGTAGATATCGATCCGTAACACACAAAAATGAACAACAAAACGCACGATACTATACCATACACCAGCGTTAATTTGTAATAGTGAAGTATAAAAAATACCTATGGGAGTAATGATAAAACACATGACTGCTGCTGGATGGTAATTAACTTCAACTTCAGAACCGAAAAACACGTTCGGGCATTGAAATTGAAATAGTGAAAGTGTGACGAGTCGGTAATTCCCCTGCCTACGTAATTACGTCGACAGGTCGAGCGCGGCGCTATTTATTAAAGTTATCTTTTTTGTATTAGACGCCATACGCAATGGCATTACAATTATCTAAATATTGCTAAACATAGAAAATTTTTAAGCGACAATTCGAATGTTGCTCGTTGCTGCGAGAGCAGCAATGTGGCAAGAACGAACGCAACGGAACGCACGACAAACGCACTTGCGTACCAAGCAGTATGTATAATTTTTATAAAAGTTCACTGGCCTCTTTCGACTTTAATCGTTTGGGAAAAAATAAACTGCCATCGCAGCCGAGCGCGCATTGTACATCACGTCGGATATACACTACAAACTACTCACGCACTGAACGGAGTTAAATATTTTTGTAATTAGCGGTAGGTACTCAAAACTACAAAACTACAAAACATAAAATTCCACATGGATATATTGAGATAAAACGATGAAATTTTTCAACCGCAAACATTTTTATAGTTTTTATAGATTTCAGTATAGGTATAAGCTTTGTTTAAACTTAAATTTGCAGTTTTTTACCGGTTTTCATACGATTTTGATACTGCGAAAGTAAAACTGTCATCAAATTTCGAATTTCTCTCAAAGTTGCATGAGAGGTACATGAAAATAATCGTAAAGTTTGTATCGCCGGCTGGTGGAGTTAGAGTTCAAGTATATTTGAAGCAACAAACTCGGTGCTAGTGCCAGTGATGCAACACGAAGTGACCCACTTCGGGCGAGCGGCACGTGTGCATCGAGAGAGGCGGCCCCGCAGTGGAAGCCACCGACCCGACCGAAGCACCAACTTCTCTAGCTGCTGCTGCTTCTAGCCGACCTCCCGGCGAACCAAAGAGTTCACCAACTCGGAGCGAACCTTCGCGCCTTCTTCGCTGCTTTGGTGCCGACGACCTTTGTTGTCTTCGCTTGCCCGCGACGAACGCTTCAAACTCGAGGAAACGACGCACACGCATCACAAAACGTCGAAATTTGTCGGAGCTTTCTTTTTCCGTGTGCGTGGTGCTCGGCTTCACGTTGAGAGATTTTTACATTTACATGAGAATTATATACCGCGCATGATTGTATGAATCTACGAAACGAAATAAAACGTTTGTAAACGGCACGCTTTGGTGCACACGTTAATTATCCAGTTCACGAATTACTTTTATTTCGTGAAATTAACATGCCTTTGTCTTCAGGCTCCGCGCACCCGCACGAACATTCCGGAAACATGAAATACATACAGACAAAAAAGTTCAATGATTTACTGTGTTTCACAGAACGTTGCAGTGAATACAAATTAAATGTTTTAGCAAGTATGAACTTGAAACTATAAAATCGATGTGCGTTTAATTTTTGAGTGAAAGTGTCCTTGCTTTTAATTTTAATTTGGGTTATTAATTTTTATTTAGTTTGGAAAAGATACATGCAGCGCACTCTAGTTCTCAATTTCAGAACTAATCAATAGAAGACTACCAACATAAAATATATAAACCCAACATATTTAATTATTTTATTAGATATCCAAATATATTAATTAATATAAGTTCCGATGTAGTTTTCGCACTCGGGACAAAAATGATCCACGTTCATGCAAATTGGACAAATATATGGTATAAAACACAAGCTAAAAATATGAATTTATAATCAAATTACAAACAAAAACAATAAATGGGTAACAAACCAACAAAGACACATTACTATTGCCTTGAAATGGGTCTTCGCTGATGGAATAATGTTAATTTCCGTCGTGATATAGTAGCCGCAATGTGGACAGGTGACAATTTGTGGCTTGGGTCCTAACGGCACCACTGAGTAAGGTTTGTCCAACAACTTTACGTTCCCTTTAAATGCGTTTACATCGGTATCGTCTATATCCACAGATCTTTTAGCCATTCTCTTCTATTTTGTTCTTTTAATTAAAACTGCAGCTGTTAATTGCTCACTTTTTCAGCTACCATGTGTAAATTATATGTAAATGTTTGATTAATGTGACATTGAGTTTTGTCAACATGATTGACCGCCATATACCTACGCAAATTACTTTACAAATTGCAAAGTTGTACAGTCTGAGAAAGTTTAGGCAAACATTTAGGCTTATTCAGGTCAAGTGGAGAGATTTATTATCAGTTTTTATAAAAATACGAGTAACTTTTGAACTGTGCAACCTAAAAACACAAATACAATCGATATTTAACTGCCCAAATACATAAAATCAACATTAAAATACACTAATTCACTAATAATAACTACTTCTATATACATAAAATATCACAATACCAAGAATTCATGTAAATCTTAAAACCTTACATTTAATATCTAGTTACGTGTATGTTTAAATTATAAATTCTGCTATCAGTGATCAAATTCTATTTCTGTATATGAATCCATTTTGTTTGACTTGGTTATCAACCAGATTAAATATGTATTTATCAAACCGTTAACAGCTTCATTTACGAAACGTGATATGTACCGTTTAACTGCTTCGCTTTATAGACGTGATAACGAAATAAAGAAATAAAGTCTGTGTTGTTGCATGCATGCAGTTGCTTATGCTTTTTTTGCACAGAGCAAACAACCGATTTGGTATGCAAACCAGTTATTGAACAAATATGCGACAATATACGTGGAACTATTGCTAAGCTGACGTCGTGACGTAGTAAAAAAATAATTGCGCAAGCTATCACAAAATGGCGGCGCTAATTCTCATAGACTCCGAGATAGGCACCGCAATTCGGACAATAGTGGTTTTGATTCTGACACGAGTCCATGAAGTACGGCAGGCACATACAAGGCCAAAATCTGCAAATTAAATTATTTACATTCTCATTATCATTTCAACGAAAACATACATTATTTTAATAACAAGCAGTATTATCGAGTTATAATTTTCGTTTGGTATTCACTCGGTGTGTAACATGTTGTTAAAAACGTGTTTTGCTTATAGAGCGTGAAGTACCTATAAATAATACTTCAAGCACTAGAAACATGAGACGTCATTGCCAATCGGATAATATTTTGGTTTAGCAGTTATACTACATTTACTTACAGACAAAGGAGTGCAAGTGCGTATAAGTGTGTCCTGCCGGTTGGTTCGGCTTTTATTTGTGTCTGTATGCCTTGTCGACAATGAGGACACACGCATCTTTGTGATTCAGGTCCAAAACGCACTGGAGCGACACGAATTTCACCAACATACACTTGCGGTGGTACGTCCTGATCCGGCGGGATGTAAAAACCTAAAAATACATTTTAATTAAAACCTCCATACTGAAAACACAAACATTATCGACTTTTAAATAACAAAGAGAATTGTAAGTGGTGCAAATCGATATGTGTACGTCGAGTTAACGCGCACAAATTTAAAGTAAAACACTTGCCAAGGTCAGGTAAATGAACAAAAAATACTTAAAAACAAAAACTGTACCTGGAGGTGGCGGGGAATTCGCGTCCACACTGTATGGCGGCGGTGGCGTCTTTTTATAATCCTCCATTTGTTTATTAATGCGTGAAAATCACTAAAAAACTTAAGGCACGTGGATGTTTTTCCACTCGCACGAAACGAAACTGGTTGTGGTTGGATCTGCGTTGAGAATTGCGCAATTTAGTCGCTATAACGACGCTAGCAGCTCCGTTGCGAGTCGATGACAACAAACGAATGTCAAAGTGCCGCACGCACGAACTTTGTTAGCGTGTGTATAAATATTTCTAGCACACGAAGCCGCACCGCACCAGGTTGAACAATACCATCAACCGCTCCAACAATTTATTCGTATCAGATTCGTACATGAAGCTGCGCATGCGCGCGGGAAGCGTGGAAATTATAAAATTGAATTTAACGACTGCGTCGTGTACGGCAATAAGTTGACTAGAAAATAGACACCTATAAGTCCAACGCTTTTTAAACCTGTTAATTTAGAGGGGTTTTCGTTCGAGTGGAATTTTTTGGAGGGAATGCTGAGAATCTCTGACGTGTTGTTTGACGTTTACTTGTTTATCTAGAATGTTCATTAAAACCGCTGCAATATCCTGCAAGCTTATTATCTTATGACGACTTATGTTTATTTTAACTTAATTTAAATGAATGCATTCAAATATTTATTGAAGAATTTAAATAAAGCAGCCTTGTTTTGAAGAGTATTGTTTTGATGAACAATTGACGGCACTTTTCTTATCAGTGGACAGTCAGGTTTTATAAGCGATGAATGTAATCAGCAATAATTAAAAGAATTCAAGCAAATCAACGATGATACTTTGCTTTGCATGTGTCATTCAGTTAAATATAAATGCATTCGTCGAATTTCCACAGAAGAAATATTGCGATAAGACTTTCACCGCATATTTACATGCACTGAGTGCGATGCACTTCAAAGCCAATTAGATTAGCTTTATATAAGACTTCTCAATAATTCTGTATCAGTCCACACGTTTCTATGACTCATGATTCATGAGTATGTACTTGGTTACAAATAGAATCGACTACGCCTACGTCACACATTAATATAGAGCGCCATTTTAAATTACACAATGTTACTAAAACGGTTATTAGCCCAGTAAAATTAATAGTTTTAGCGTACGGGCGCCGCAAAGTCTACTTCAACATTCGTTTGTGCCAAAACTCATTTCCTCACCACCATGAGGTAGAGTACGTGGCGCGTTTTTTTTTATCGTGGTATCCCCAGCAGGCCTAATCCACACGCACTATTCCAAAATTTAATGGATTATCTTCCGATTCGCTCTTCGCGATGGACCAGGTGTTGTGCGTTAATTGTTTTCAGAACCGATCGAAATATCACAGGTAAAATTTTCTGCCATACTATCCGCGATGGGATTATCGTTTTCAATGCTATCTTGGTTCTCGAGTTCATCGTACGTGTGCTCAAAACGGTAATCGTATTTAAATTCAAATTACAAATTTACTTTTCTTGCCTTCTCTTGGGCAAAGATTTCAATAATTTTGTCGTACTTTAGTTTTTTTAAATATCATTTTCTATAAACATTAATGCGAAGTCATTTAAGTGCTCTTGTGAAAGACTATTGCGCAGATAGTTTTTGACTCGTTTTAAAACTGAAAATGTCCTTTCTCCACTTGCATTAGAAACGGGCAAGGTCAAAAAAATTTGCAGTATTGTGTGTATATTTGGAAAAGTTGATTTTAGACCATTACTTAATGTTGCATACATTTCATGTGGATCTCTAATATTTTCTTCTTGTATGTATTTTAGAAAATGAGTTAACTCATCAGTGAAATATTCTGGCTCAATATCTTTTTCATACTTAGACAATAATCGCTCTACACAATTATTAGTCTCAACACGGCTTAATTTTAAATCAAAGAAAATTTTAAAATCGTTAAGAACATTGATATAGACATCGCCCCTTCGAGTAATTTCTGATGTTAATACATCACATACAATATAAAAAATGTTGACAATAAAAAAATTTCTTGACAAAAATGCTGTATCATTTTTGTTCGTTTCATCATATGGATATTTGCGTTTTCTTTGTCTCATCTCTTTATAAGAATGATGAGCTGTTAGGATTTAGCCTCCTCTTCAACAGTTTCGAAATTATTTCTGACCACTGTTATAAATTCGTTTAATGATTTTAATAAACTAACACTATTAAGAATATTTGTCTTTGGTTCCTGTAAGTATTTGCTGGTAATTTCGATTCTCTGTAGGAGTTTGTTCCAGAAAATTGTTAACAGTGCCGTCTCAAATTGATCGAACTCTTTTGAACTCTGTTTTTTTTTAATCCAACTACCACCCCAAAAATCTAGATAAAAATTGTAGGAGGATAAACGTTGGTACAACGTGTTCCGCAGATGTAAAAAATGATAGAAAGACGAAATAATTAATATTCCAAAAAAGAGAGTTACCCGCTATTTTACAACCTCAATGGAATATTCCTCAACTCATCTCCTCCACAGATGTTCGAAATTTAAAAAAATTGGCAATATACTACTCGCATTATAGCTACAACTTTCTAATGCAATATTCAAGAAAAGGTCACAAAAATTCGTGGCAGAAAACATCCAAATTTTATTTTAAACAGTTTGTCATAAAGAAATAAAATCGGAGATAAAAAGTTTTAAGTCAGCTATATATCCGTGACGGTTGCTTTGCGGACACGTGTGAAATGCCGTTTTGGGCGCCAAGTGAAAACCAATACGCTATTCATAAAGGCTGAGGTCAAAACCAACTGATGAAGTATTTGTGGAATTACTATGTCTATATGGGACATATAAGTGCCAGGGGCCCCTCAGGCAGCCGGGGCCCCCCAGGCAGCCGGGGCCCTAGGCGCGCGCCTAGTGCGCCTAGGCCGTAATCCGCCACAACATCAACAATGTAGGCAATGTAGTGTTGTCTGGTGTTTTTCATAATTCAATGTTTTCTATAAAATTGAAATGTTTTGGCAATATCAAACTTTGCGCTTTGAACGTGGCATGTTATAAAGTAGTTGATGTCCGCTCGCGTTGTTAATGTTAGGCGTTGCGTGTTGGTGTGGTAATTGATTATTTTTCCGCTTTTATTGATTAGATTTCAAAGTTATGACTGTATGTGCTCAATTTAGGTTGATTTGATGATAATACAAATATTTTCTCTATGATTTAACGTGCATAAGAAATTTTCATTGTGGAGTAAAGGTTATTTCTTAACGTTGCTAATCGCAACCATGAAATAATACATACTTAACCTCAATTTACAAACTAGAATATATCCTTTAATAATATGTATTTTATTTGTTATGAACATTATATATATTTAAGTCAGAATACAATTAAATATAAAATGATTAATTTTATAAGTCAATTTGTTGTGCATTTGGACACTTTCTATATAAATGATGTACAAATGACTACATCTCGTGTCAACTAGTTTGGTCGCGTTAGAAAAATGACTTTGTTATTGACGTTGTTTGTGCGATATTAATAAAATCAAGGCAAAACGTGCAACAGAGGTGCGCCATGAGCGTTATCGCACTTGATGCGATAAGTTTGTTTGAATAAACCATCACTTGTGGAACACACAGAGTTAATGAATAACTATTTGCACAATAATACAAGTTAAACTTAGAATAGGAACGACTAAATTACGTTTTAACTTTGGTTGCCGACTTTGGATTTCTTCTTTTTGGTGCGTATTGAATTATTGTCCAAATTAGTTATCGTAATTGCCCAAATACGCGTTGCAATTGGGACAGTAGTGATTTTTCGCCTGGCACGAATCCATGCAGTACGGAAGACATGTACAAGGGCAAAAACTGTAAACGTAAATAAAAATTAATGTAATTTATGCTAAAATAAACGAGTTTAAAACTTACATCAGACATAATAAAATAGCGAAGAGATGTGTTTTGGTAGTTGATTCCACTTTTATTGATGTGGATATTTGACTGTGACAGTACGGGCAAATGCAACGTTGCGAGTCTGGTCCAAAATGCACGATCGCTGGCGGTTGTAAATTTACTACTAAGCAAGTACGAGTAGTATTTAATTAGTTTAAGTGTTTTATGCGGTTATTGAAATTTCGAAAGTGTACCAACCTGCAACAGGTGCTTGAGGAGGTGGGTTCATGCCGTATGGCGGCGGCTGTGAGTCGTGTTTGTTGTAATCGTCCATGACGTTCCCGGCACTATGATCGTTAGCAACAAATTGCGCTCACGGCGGTTACTGGCAAACTGTGGTTGGTGTTGGCAGGTTGTTTATACGATTTATTCCGTTTATAACTTTTTTGGTCGAGCTGTGAGCGCGGCGCATGCGTCGATCACACCAACGTTAGTCTACAAACATTGTTAAGTAAATCATTTAATGATTGAAAGTCCACATTTTCAATTAGTGATATCCGGCACACGTAACTGCCAATAAACTATATTTCACACGGATTATTTCGAGCGATTTTTAATAGAAATAATAATTTAATCATTATCGATTAGAAATACCCGCCCCAATTTATTTTTAGTAGTAGTATTTGCATCAATACATCGCTAATTTTATTTTATTTGCTAATTTTAGGGATTTAAACGTACCTACAAACCAGACTAAAATAATATAAAAACCCAAAAACATGTATTGCTCAACTAAATATAACAACACACTTTGAGTTTAATATCCTTAATACATTTGTTTTGTATTTTAATACTAATATAGTTATGATATCATTATAAAAGCCCGTTATGCTTGGATGACAAATCCTATTTATTTTATCTTTATGTGATTATCGAATGATGATTTGTAATACGTATATCCAAGCGCAAAACGCCCAATTCTACTGTTGCTTATTGCTGTACATTGAGTTGCATACTCCCATTCAACATCTTTAAAAGTGCCTTCAGTCATTTTACTGTTTACTGATGACGACGAAGATGCAAAATTAAATCGCAATAATTTGAATTCTTTTTCTAGTTGTGAATTGTTTACCGATCAGGAGCAATTATAACGTAATAATGCGATTCAGGCTGCGAATACTACCAAAATAAACTTGGGTGTGAACAAAACTCCGAAAATACTCAAGTTTGATCTATCTACAAATACAAATATGTGATAAACATATTTTATATTAAGATTGAGATTAATATAATATGTAATCTGGAACGTAATTGGCAATTTTAAATGACACCCATTTACAATTAAATGTAGAAAACCATTCAAACACGATTTGTGAAAAAGTGGGGATTCCCAGAACAATCCATCTGAATACTTTTCATTGGTGTACGAGATAAGAAGATTGCATAGTCCGCAATTTATCAGCTTACAACGAAATAATTGTCAGTATATTTTAATTATGTTGCGTAAACATTCGAAATGTTCTGGACGTTCTTCCGGCTGCCTCAAGATCAATATCATCAGTTAGCAAGACAGTTTTAAGGTTACAAGATTTAAAATTGTTCTGCGTGTGTTTTCCCCTTTCTTCAACATGAACTATTTGGATACTCTGAAAGATTTATTCCCGAATCATCTGGAAGACACACTTCTGCGAGTTTTAAATGAAGTAGAAGAAGAGTTGCCATTTTCTGATGATGGAGAGAAAATAGAACGAATGTGCACTTTACTGATTGAGAACTATGCAAATGAATCTATTACACCTCAAATGGACTGTAATTATAAGGACTCTGATAGTGATAATGATAATAAGGTGCAAATTCTGCAAGAACAATTGAAGGCAAGATTTCCGGATGCTTGCCCTGATTTTATAAATGACATTTTGACCAGAGAATCAGTAAGATTGGATTATGCTTCTATAGTACAACATTTTCAAATGAGTAAATTTATTTACATTTTTGATACAGTATAATACAAAACAATATAAATTATATTTTTACTTTAGATGGCTACAGAAAGAAAAATGAAATGGTAACATCTATTGCTGTGAAGAATCCTGAATTGGTCATGCAAATGAAACAATTATTTCCAGATGCATGTGAAATTTTCATTAATAAATGTGTCAATCAAGGTTTAGATCTTGATGCTTTACTTGACAAGTTTGCAAGTGGTAAGAATGATTTGTTAATTCGTTTTGCAATATTATTAAATATTTATATTTTATAGAATCTTATGTGAAATCTAGTGGAAATTGTAGTGCTGTTGATGAAATGCTCAGTAACTTCCATCAAAGGCTGTGTGATATGTTACCAAAATTTGATCCTGATTATTTGCTGGAGGAAGCCAAGAAGTTGCCACAATTATCTGAGCAAGCTTTCAGTAACTGTGTGAGTTTTCTACTGGATATGAAAGAATATCCTACAATTGCAGATTACAAAAAGCGTCAGACTGAAAAGGAAAAAATGCTCAAGTATCTCTTTGATTTAAAAATTGATATGTTTCTAAAAGAGTTTTCATACAATCTCAAGTCGTTTGAAAACAGCAAGAGAAAACATTCTCTATTGGCACAGAATGTTAACCAAACAGAGTTTGAAAATAATAAGCGTTTTGCTTATGTTATGCTTTGTTATATATATTCTGGTGTTCAAGCACATCTGATTGAAGTAAAATTGAAACAATTCCAGTATGATATTCTTGCGGTTTGCGAAAGTTTGGGACGGCCACAGAGGAAAGACTTCTTTAGAAATGAAGTTGATTTACCTCCAAATTCATACAAAAATAAACTAATGTTTCAAGAATTAGCGTATGTGATGCATCGCGATTTGATTAATAATTATCTGAAGATTCGAACGAGTTCTTATGAGCGAGCTTATAAAGAAGCTGAAGCCGCCAATCAACTGCAAACTTGCAGAACATGTTTTGAGGAAGGTTTGCTTCTGATGCCAGAAGAGTCTTATCAATGTACCAATGGATGTAATTTCTGTAAACAGTGCATGATTCGTGGTTGTGAAGTAGCTTATGGCGATGGTTTGCTGGAAATTGACTGCTTTGATGGTTGCGGTGCAACATTTAGCGATTATATTTTACAGGTAAACTTTAGTTCATATATTAAAAATATACTAGTGTAACTTTTTATTATTTTAGATGGTTATGGACCCTGTTGCATATGTAAAACTAATGCAACGAAAGCAAATTAAAGCAGTCCGTGAAGCACTCCGTGACGATTTTGAAACATGCCCTTTCTGCGATTACGGAACTGTCATGAGTAAAGAGGATAAAATATTCATTTGTAGAAACAGTGAATGCGGTAAAGAGTCGTGCAGGGAATGTCAGCACGAGGCGCATATTCCATTAAGATGCAACGAAATAGAATACGATGAGGATGTGAAGATGCGAACATACATCGAGAATCAAATGGCGGCGGCGTTGATTAGGGTTTGCAAGAAATGTAACCGACAGATCATCAAAGAAACTGGTTGTAACAAGATGACTTGTGTTTGTGGTCAGACAATGTGTTATGTGTGCGGGGAATCGGGTATTACTTACAATCACTTTGGCATGAGGTTTGTACATTATTTTTGTTATTTATGTTAGATAAGTTATCAGTTCGATAGCTATAATTCATTCTCTTTTAATTGTAGATGTCCGCAACAGTCTAATCAAGAACAACTGCACCGAGATGATATTCTTCGCAGTATTCAAGCTGCAAAAGCGGCATTGGGTGTGGATAGAAATCCTAATAAGCTTAAGTTTGATCCATCTAAGGGGTTTTAACATTTTATCTTATATTTTACAATGTTGCGCATTATTAATCTATGTCTAATGAAAACGTATTAAACAATTTTATCAGATTAGTTTTATATACAAAATACGCTTTTGTATGTATTTAAAGTTTTTATTTGAGCGGCCAAAATAGTCTCCAATATAGTTATATTTGATTCATCTAAAGCAGCTATTCTTAATCTATTCTATACTGATACCTGTATTCTACTATACTTATTATCTTTGAGTTTAGTTCGACTTTATGTTTGGCAAACAAGTTGCCTATAGTCAAACAAGGTTTTATTAATAAATTACAAGATGTATTTATTAAATTGTTTTGTGATTTATATGGATTTTTACAATTTTGTATCGTCAGTTTCTGACGATGCCCACAGGGCGAAACATGTAAAACTCATACAAAATTGTAAAAATCCATATAAATCACAAAACAATTTAATAAATACATCTTATAAACATGGACTACGTATTCAAATTAGAAAATAATAAAATAATAAATTACAGTAAATGTATTATGATTCTAGCACATGTTGATGATTCTTTAGGCCACTTGCCAAGGACTGTAAATCCCAACAACATTAGCACAAATTGGACATTCATGGTGGACGCACTTGCAGCTCTTCATACAATATGGCAGAAGGCAACATGGCCAACAACCACAAATACAAAGAGCCAATGCTGAGTAATGCGTTAAATTCGAGCGGCGATAACGGAGAGATGTTACGACAAAATTATTGCAATACGGACAAATGATTGTTACAGGTTCGGCATTCCAAATTGAATCCTGTGGATCTGTAAATTTTAAATTATTATAAACCATTTGCAACATATTAACTTTAATTACCTGCAAATTGTAAAGGGTGTGCTACACAGAAACCCTGAGCTTGTGCGTAGGATGGAGGAGGTGGTGGTGCAATGAAAGGCGCCGACGGTTGAATCTGCACATCTCTTCGCGAGAATACTCTATTATTTAAAGTGTTTTCCTGCGGGCCAACGTGCATTAACGCTGAATAAGTTGGCGGTGCTCCTTGTAATGGCGGCGCACTATACAACACCAATGGCGGCGCTGCAGAAGGTGTTAATTGAACCGAGACTGTATCATTAGCCATTGCAACATGGTACGGTGGAGGTTGATTTGTACACGGTTCCACTGCTGAAGACGAATTTTCTTTTCCTGTAAGTCTAGAACAGCAATATTCTACCGAATGTTCATTAATATTCAGTGCAGATTGATTCATAGAATCTGTAGCGATTAGTGATTCACTGCTTGCAAAAGAAATATCATCGGAGTATAAAACAGTCGTGGCAATATTTTCAGTTCCTTCCGGAGCAGTAATTAGTTGTGATGGTAATGGTTCAGGTAATAGTAGATCGTCATGATGGATTCTACTATGACTTGTAACTGCAATGTCACTTCTTCTTGGAATGTGTAAAAGTTCAGACTTGAAATTAAGTGATATATTAGATTTTTTGGTTTCATCATTGTCATTTGCTTCTTGTAACAACAAAGTCTTAAGAGTTTCTGGATGTTCCACATTGAATTCAACTTGGTTAGTATTTAAAAAATAAGTTTCAAGATTGTTGGGTTCTGGTTGTGTTTGATTGACAGCAATTTCTTCATCTTCTACGCCTGAATTACTTGGTCCTGGAGCGTTAGAAGTACTTACTTTGCATTCGGCATTATCTATGATTTTATTAATGATTGAGTCAACACTTTGGTTATTGTCCATAAATTAAACTCAAAATTTCTCATTTTTCCAATTTAATTTTGACAGATTTGACATGTTTGCTCACTGTTATTACGTTGAACATGCAATAAACAATGTTACGAAAGTAAGAAAGTATTCTTATTACATTATTCAGAAGACATACTGACACTTTTATCTCTCCGGCTTGAAAGGAAGGTAAAAATAACGCCAACTAGGGCCAAAAATAAAATCGAAACAAGACTCAAAGCGCAAAGGAAGATTTAAGAGTGCAATATATTTCGTGTTGACCTGGATTTGGAAAAAAGCAACGCTGCTACATGGCGATACTGGATGAAATGACAAATTATATATAAACGCCGGCAGTGTAGAGCAGACACACAGTGGACTCGCTGGAGTTATTGCGGCACAAAGATTAGGAAGCAGCTGGAAATCTAGGAATCTCGGATTGCTTGAAAGTAGCTGGGCGTCAGTGACAGCCGCAAATCTGTGGATCGCCATCGGCGGCAGGCATGCGGCACGGGGGTCCTTTGTCAATGGCGCTCACGCGTCGGTCGTACATGCCGATGTAGAAGCCGCATTCCTTGCAGTACAAGTAGAACAAATCGCTGCCGCTGATGATGAACGGTAGAAAACAGAACGGCCAGCATCCCAGCAACATGCACGCGAGTCCTGTTGACCCGGTCAATTTATGACGCTGGCGTTTGATCAACGGTGCATTCTTTTTACCGCATCGAGGGCAGAGTAAAGGATTTTGGGAGCATTTCCAACTTTGAACTAAAAACACATTAATTAATATACATAATAAATGAAACAAAATGATCTTACTGGTAGTTCGGTAATGTCGCGCTCGGTGCTTTCCACCTTTACCTCGACGAATACAATCATCAGCATCACATCCACAACCACAAGAACAATTTCCATTCTTCTTCGATGTGGGCTCATACATTAACGCAAAGTGCGCAAAGTCCAGCTCCGGATGCTTCTCGATGAGGTGCATGCCATAGTTATGGATGTGATCTGGACTATAAGAGATCTTCTCGCCGCACAGCTTGCATGTGCCGAAGGAGCTCATCGTCGCGATACTTTACATTTCATATTCCACCCTCCTCTGTGATACGAATATAGAATAAGTGTAACAACGCATATGATATACTGCACTGATTGAAATATGAATGACGGTTTACCCGCAGGTTGCCACACTGACGTCTTCAATGAGCGATTTGCAGATTGGGCACGTCGGCAGCGATGCAAACCTGGGCCGTAAATACGGCACTAGACAAAATCCGAGGGGACACAGCAGCAGCGCCAGGATCAACTTCTTTACCTGAACCGACTCATTTCTACAACGCACAAATCTCTCGCAATGCTCGCACCAGTACGATGTGTCTGACATCTAGAAACTAGCCTCACCAAAAATTTACTCCAAAAAAACAAACACGCACAAAGCGAGCGCAAAAAAAAGACATTTGTCAAATGACAACGCAATACATGTGCACTTGACAACTTTATTTACGTCGTGGTTGGTGTTGTTGATATTTTTGAACGACGAACAAAGAGTGTTAGGAGTCGTCGTCGGGGCAGGTTTTATAGGTGGTAGAACCTAGGTATGCGTGGCAATATTTGCACGTGTGTTTCGCCATTTTCCATCGTTGCACGACGAACGGCAGCCACCACAATCCCAACACAGCCAAACGCCTTGCGACGCGTCTGGTGTAAGGGGTGATCACCCACGTTATCAACGACGTGCTTGGCATCAAACAGCACGGGCAAGTAATCTCCACCGGCTTTCTTCCTAAGCACACATCCTGGATAACGTCGATTTCGATCTCGTCATCGTCGACCGCGCTGGAGGTACACGCGCAACAAAGGTAATGGGTAGTACGGTAATTATAATTTTCTGCAAATGAAAGTGGTAAAGCAAAAACGATCAAATTCTTTAAACCATACTTAAGTTGTCATCGCCCGCGCGCATAACATGTTGAAGTTGTGCACTGACACATTTCAAGGGATAATAATGTCAAAACGATCAAAATTATCATTTTATTTTATAATAATTTGTTCATCTCTACTACGTTTTTGATAAAAATTACTTTTTTTTTTGTTTTGATTAAATGTCTACATTTGGTTTTGTTCTTATAATATACTTTCTTTAGTACAGCACAATTTTTTCTTTGTTTTAAAACGGTTTTTGTGTGTGTCGTGTTTTAATCCTAAATTGTTAATAATTGTATCGTCTAGTCTACATGACTTGTACTTAACTTTCGCACTATCATTATGCATTTAAAGAAGAGAAATTATTTTTCTTGGACCCCAAATTAAACTTACGCTCAATTCCTGAAAATCACACATTCAATTCAATTCGCATTATACTTTGTCTTAAATTCTTCAAACACCTATAACAGTAACAATTTTTAAGTGTTATACATTCGTCGCATTCCTAACCTATAGAAATTTGTTTAAAATTTTCTGCGTTGCATGTTTGGTTGCCTACACAGCGTTGGCATAATGATAGTAGAGAAAGCTACGAACGTTCGTTTCTTCGGTGCTTTCCATCATTAATTACTCATTACTTCGGCACATTTTACAAGTGTGCGAAGTGCAGTGTTACCTTGCTGTTTTTGTAGGTGTGTAATTTATATCACAATAATTAAGGCTTGAATTATCCAGGGAGGTTTTGTGTTTATGCAAAATTTATGCAAGCGCATACAGAAATAAACCACCCTGTTAATTTCACATCTACAATCATGTATGTTTAGTTTATCTTAATTCATTTAGAGCTTAATCTTACTCAAAACGTTAATTGTGTTTAATCGTTAATAATTTCATTGTAATCATTTAATAACTTGTGTGTTTGGGGCAAACAATACTATGAAAATAGATATGTCTATGTATTTACGTGTAATTCCGCGCGAAACTTTTGATAACTTCTATGTATTGACATTTAAAAGCTTAGATTAGTTTAATAATTCATTAGGGTGTAAGGGTTAACGTATTTAGAGTGTGTAGTTGTTTGTTTTCGAACTCATTTCGCAAACGCCAAGGAAAAAACAAACTTAAATCCAATCAAGTGTAGATATAGGCTATTTGTGTAACTCTCCACCGCATGTTATTCCCTCTCGGAGGGTAAAAATGTTGATGCAACCCTCACTCGTTCGTTTTCTTGGAATTCCACCTCAACCAACCGCCGCCGCCGCCGCCGACTTGTGTCTTACGTCTTCTTAGTGTCTTCACTAACAAATACAAAAAAAATACAAATAAAAAAATCGAAAAATGCTTCCCCTAGCTTAGACTTAGAGTAGTAGTTATTTTTGTTCTCGGAAAATCCGGCGAGGAAAAAAAGAAAACTTGATTACGATAAAATAGTAATACAAGACGAGCTGTATTCGGTGGTCCAGTGTGGAGATTGCTCGACGGTCCGGATATTTTTATGTCTTCTCGAGCGTCTCGAGCTGCCGAGAACCACCCCCATGTGAGGGGAATATACGTGGCAAATTGGCGATGTGAATTTTGTTCCCGTAACAGCTTCATGCCGGCAATCTGGTTCGTTTTTTTTTATGAAGGTCAATAATGCCTAAGTGACCGTGGTTTATCGTCAGTTATTTATAGAATAAATAAAATACATATTTGGCACGATACGCCGCTTTAGATGCGGTGAATTGCGTAATTGTGCAGAGAGACGACGTATTTAAGCCATGAATGTTTTACGAATTCAGGTTGCATTAAACTCGAGTGTGCGCGCACGCATGCGTTGTATAATAACGCTGGCGAATTGTTTGTCATCCTTGGTCTTCTTTTCTGCCTCCACCTACGCGTGTTCAGTCGCGCGGACTTGTTTATTCAAGAATCAATCTGGGTTTATTGCAATCGATTTGGGCAGACGCGCGAGCGAACGAGCGAGTTGTTGATGTTTATCTGCAACTTATCCTGCACTCCAGATAAAACACTTCTGTAAATAACTGCAGTTTAATTTTAACTTGTGTTTGTAACGAACTCGTTAGGCATATCCGCACCGCAGGTGTCTAATGTTATGAAATATTTACATGTAAAAATATATCGTGTTTGATCTTTGGTCGGAAATGGTGGTGCGTCGTGCAGCAACAACGGGAGCAGGAGCAGGCGAATGACGACAATCGGCTACATCGTTTTGTGTCTGGAATTGTTCGCCGACGCGCTGCGACTGCTCGCTTCAAATGAGTGCAAACGTCTTCTGCCAGACGGCGGGACTTGAAGGTTTTCGTGAATTTCCGCGTCCGGGTCGCCCCTAAACACATCGATAACAAGAGATTCGAACAAAGCGATGACAATTTGTATCGGTGGTATTTGAGATGCGGTTAATCGCCATCGCCATTGCGTCGTGCACGTGTCGGGCGAGTTATGTATCACTCGGTTTGAGCGCGAATGTAATCAGCGGAGCGTGAGCGATGACCGCGGGCGTCGGGTTCGTTGATTGATGTCAATTAATGCGCTTTTCCTCTGCACGTCAGCGCCAATGCGACGGCAGAAATATAATAATAAAAAAAGAATTATAAATCCGTTGATTTATACAAGCAAATAAAACACTCAAAAATCTATTCATCGCGCATTCAATGCAAACAAAGAAGGTTCACGTGGCAATGGCGGCGAGGCGTAATTTAATTGCGCGCGGGACTTACCTCGACTCAATGCGAGTTAATCGTTGCTTTAGTTTTGCTTGGCTGGCGGTGTACTCGGCAAGCAGCCGCGCCAAACGCGTCTGCAGCGTGTCGACGACGTCCTCCAATCGCTGAATGCTGTCCATCATGGAGTCCTGCGATTCTCGCGCGCGCTTGAATGCGTCCTCGTCCAGCAGGCCGTCCTTTCGCAGCAGCTGACAGCCACGCTCGGTGAGGGTCGCGCGCGCCTGCAATCACCGCAAATGCAGATAGCATACAATCGCACACAAAATACAAACGCAAACACAATGCTGGCGTTAATCGCCCAAACTTTACAGACTGAGTATATTTGCTTGTTGGAGAGAGAGTTTCTAAACACTTCAGAGTGTTGGAAGTTTCTCGCGCATTGATGTGACCTCACGAGAGGAGTTTAATTTGTGTTCAATCCCCACAACGGTATCGCACGTGTGAATTTTTCCAAAATCAATTATCAAAATAATGGATTTGACCTAAATTTAAATTCCCACAATCAAATAAAGATTGACACATAGAATCAATACCAATATTGAAATATATTTATTTTGTGCAAGCAAGTAATTAATTAAAAGCTCCGAAAGTTTTTTGTTGGCTATTTGGAGAATTTAAACCGATGCTGTTTAATGATGCAAAAACTAATGGAAAGTTTTAAGCTAGAAAAAAAAGGGGTATCACACACTACACCCGACAGACAATGCCCTAATACCGTAATAGAAACGGATTCATGGCTGTGGGATTCGACTTGATTTTCAGCTTGATTAAAACGAAACATAAATATTGGCGAAAGTGGATTAAAGTATTAGAAGCCGTTGTTTTTTACCACGTAGCATGCGGAGATCAGTTTGATTAAACTAAGTGCGTTGCAGCGATAGTCATGAGATGCGGGTATTACCTCGGGATAATCAGCTAACGCAAGCAGGAGATCATCTTTGGCCAGACAGAACAGATCGGAGTAGCCGAGCGAGCGCACGTTTGCCGTGCGGCGGTTGCCGGTGCGGTTTCCGACAATGTCCAGCACGCTCACCTCGCCGAACACTGAACCAGCGCCGAGGGTTGCGAATATGGTCTCACCATTGTCGGCCACTACTTGCAGACGTCCTCGCTTCACGATGTACATTTCTTTACCGACGTCTCCTTTGCGACAGATATAATCACCTGGTGAGAACACCTGAACAAAAGCAAAAACAATAAAATTTAGGTTTTTTTGAATTATTTGGAGAGTTGTGCATACCTGTAAACGTAGTTTTAACACCAACGCTTCCAAAAGTCCAGGTTCACAGTCCTGAAAAATTTGCACTTTCCGCAGAGTGTCCAAATGCACCCGAATAGCAATTTCGGCTTTAAGTTTATCTGGCAGAGCAGACAACACACGTTCTTCGTCTAATGCACCACTTTCCGCCCACGTGTACGCAAACCACCTTATAACCCGCGCTTCTAACTCCCGACCCACTTTCCGGAAGGCCATGTACTGCTTAACGCCGTCCATGCGATTTTGAAAATCAACCCGCGCGACATTCATGTTTGAAATCATCGATCCGATGTTACCCACAATGGTAGCAAAGATCAACACGCCGGCGAGGAAGTCCGCAACCACAAACAAATATTCCGCGTCATTCTCCGGCACTGGTGTCTCTCCGATCGTGGTGAGGGTCAAGGTAGACCAATAGAAGCTATAGATGTATTGTCTAGCTAACGTAGCGTTTTTAGAACCTGTGTTATTGTACACCCAGTTATCAGTGCCGAAACCGATGGCGTAGCTGATGGCAAAGTACAAACAGGCGTTCCAATGGATGAGCACCAGGATGGCAAGGACCACCTTGCAGATGCGGAACACGTTCGGATAGTTTGTATCAGTTTCGGTGCGGTCGAACCATTCCAAGAGGCGGGGAAGTCGGAAGAGACGGTTAAGACGCACCAACACTGGACATGGCACAATATTCTTGCATTGATATGGTGACCACCAGAAATACACCACGTCGGTTGGCAACAGTGACAGGATATCTAGACGCCATTTTTTCGACTGGAAGTAGTGCATGCGTAGTTTGTGTTGGTCTGTCACAAGTAATCCTTGCTCCAAATAACCTGTTAAAAACAAGCAAATAAAATGATATTACTAATATATCATCTTGTTTATAAGGTAAGGGTATTTAGACAACCCAACAATCATGTTTGACCTTTTTCCCAATTAACCTTCAATGTGGAAGTAATAAATGATCGCATTGCGTGCGGTCGAAATTAATTCGGAGGTGATGTGATGCACGCGCGTGCTAGCTGTAAGTGCCGTCTTAATTTGCCCGTTTTTAATCACTCCCCGACGTGTACTTGAACTTGCGTCGCTAACTTAATTTGCGTCCAGCCTCGGCAAGAAACAAACATTCATTGCGAAGCGCGTACCAGTGTGCATACAATTCAGGTTAATTAATCTATTATTGTTCGGCACGCATTCGGCTAATTAAATTGCCGTTGCCGCCGCTCTGCCTGCCGCCTCTTACTTGTGTCGCCGGCGGCGTCCGCGGATCCATTACACGGGAGCACGCAGGAGGGCCAATCGATACTGTTCAATGTTTATATGAATGCGCACCATGGCTAATTGGCTCGTATTTAAAGAGGTCTTTCAGTAAACTGATCAACACACGTCGATGCCAACAACATCGTTTGCTTAACGGCTGATTAAGACTTTTAACTGCTCACTATATCTCGTTAAAACGGAATTAATACATCTATAATTTTTTGTTGATGTTTATAAACTTGTTAACACCCGGTGTTGCGCATGTTGTGTACTTTGTAGCAGCATAATTGCATAATTTTGCTGGCGTGTCCTTCCGTTTTGTCGTCGTGCGTCCTGTTGCCACTCGCTGGTTACTCGGCTACTCTTGAAGACCACCCATCTCTCTGGGCTTGGGTCCCGAGGACATTTAGCTCCTCGAAATTTGCATTGCAAACGAGCTGTAGCGATTAAACCCGACAATTTTTCATTAATATCGCAGTGCATAACATTCGCGCAGTAGCAGTAGCGCTCTTTGCTTCAAATGAATGCCTCCAAGCAAGCGTCTAACCCGCATTGTTTGTCCCGCCGAGTAAAAACATGAAAACATGGCGAATAATTAAACTTCATTATCATAAGAAGGCGAACGGTTTCATTTTTCTTCGTGAAATTTCATTAAAAATCGTTGGAATTGAATTTCCGGCCACGGGACGACGCGATTATTTCACCACGACACAAAGTATCGCAACGAACGCCGGAGATGGTGGTGATTGATTGCGTGCTGAAATTCAAGCCGGCGCGAGTGTTACCGGATGCGCATGCGTCACAAAAAAGGAGAAAAATAGGGCAATATGTATCCGAATTCCGAAGATTGGGCCGCAAGATTGATGAGTTTTGTTATAGACGGAAAAACCACTTTGTTTCGGCGACGAAAATACGCTACTAGTCTAATTATCCGGGCGCAGTGTCACAATTGTCCAGCTATCAATTTATTCGTGCAAGTTTTCTTCCTCAGGGCCACCGGCGCACGTGCTGCAGGCTTGTTCGGTAAATAAAGGATCGGTGCGATCGACAACTAACAAATAACTAGCAATAAGTCCTCTTCGCGGAAAAACTCTACACGGAAAACTAACGACTTATAATTGCTGAAGGGAAATTTACGGCGCGTCAGGGAAAAGACGAGTAAATATTTGCTCGATTATGTTTTTGCGTTGTATGTGCTTGTAATTGTAACAAATGTTAACAACTACCAGGAATAGCAGTAGATTTTTTCATTATTTTTAAGCCTCGATATTAAAATAAACTTTCATGACTTATTCAACAACTTTGCAGTATAAAAACTTTAATATGTCGTAATAAACAGTGCAAATTTAATGTTTAGTTGTATAAATATTTAGTTTATGACTGAGAAGGATGAAATTTTCAAATATTTGACTTGGTATTACCTTCGTGTGCACGCACAAGGGTGTCGGCGATATAAACAACGTCACAGACGTAGTCGAGCGTCCACCAAAGAGGCTGCGATGCATTGTTTAACTCCCAGAAGACTGCACGTCCCAGCACGAAGATGACGTTGTAGAGAACGGCGAGGGAAACCACCATCAACCACTGCGAACAGAGAAACAACGCGCTGATGAAGACGCTCTCAGTGCATAAACAAATTACGTGCGCTCCAAGTAAAGTTACCAACGGAATTTTGGCTCAAACGGTCTATAAACTTCAGGAACATTATCGCCGAGCACAAAGTCAACTTTTCAACACAAAATTAAGCGCGGTGATGTAAACAGTTGGAATTGTTTTAGCACAATGAACATTTGCTTCACAATTCGACAAATCGGTAATTGTTGAACGGTAAAAATGGATGAGCATGCTGGTAGGATTTTTATTTTTGAGTTTCAAGTCGTAACTTTCGCTGAACTAAACTTTAAATTCAATTTCAAGCGAAGGGTTTCATGCTAACAAGCAGAGTGTCAAGTTGACTCGGCAGCTCGAGCGCGAAATTTCGGTCGATTTATAATTAACGCTCACCCGCAACCTGCCAAATTCACACGCAAAACTTTCATAAGAAGCAGAGGAGTACGCGCGCGTTACTGATAATAAAAAACACTGCTAATTGCCACTTGGCGCGAGTTACAAGTGTTACTGCCTCAACTTGCTTTTTGCGACGCGTGTATTTCGTAATTTTATGCATTGAAAATCATCGATCCAATGTTTGCGAATGCTCGGCAGTGACAATAAAAAGTGCATTCGGAAGCTTCGCACGTTCACTCGTTCGCCGATTGTGCATTGCATATAGATGCACGTTTAGTTTGCCTATTTTTCGGCAAGCGCAAAAATTGAATTGGCGCATTTTCACATTCACCATTTTTCCGGGATCGCCAACGCCGTGTTTTATTAACCGTGAAAAAAATTATGGACAATATACCGGATATTTTTTTGGATAATAAAGTGTAAAATAAATTTTTTTCACATTTTTGCATAAAAACTAACTTTACACACAAAACATAAAACATTCAAATGTGAGTTTTTCGTGTGTGTGTAAAACTAAAGAAAAAGTCCGAATGTGAATACCCACACACGCATACAATTTCACTAAAATGTTATTAGCGTTTGGAGCCGTAACTTTTAATGAGACGCGCACACTGAGAGAGCTATTGGCAGAGAGCTGGCGCGACGCGTTCGTTCGCTTGCTGCATAATCTGCTTACAAGCCCGTAACGACCTTACAGAATGCTAACTCGATTTACCATGCGTGCGTTTCGGTATCAAAGATATTAAATTTCATAGTTGCGCGCTTTTGCAGCTCTTCGTGCGCGCGCCGCCTCGTTGAGAGCCTGATTGAGTGCCAACAACTCACACTCGCCCAACGATTAAAGCCGAATGCGCAAAATTTATCGCAGCTCTGGCCGAATTTGTAAAAAACTATTGTCGAACAAAGTCAAAAGCTCAAACTAGTACACAATTCGCGTTAAAAGCTTGTTTTCGCACGTCGCGCGACATATATTTGGACTTTTTGACAGCAATTCGATTCAAAGTGCTTTTTGATCGATCACCGTAACGACAGACTTTAACGCTGCGTTATTGATAGTGTGGCTGGCTAGGATCAAGTAGCTACTCACGTAATAAGTTTGCTTTCTTCGTGCGACAACAGCGATGGTTCGCAATATGTTATCGGGCTAATGATCGCAAGAAATTGCGATCATGTTTGCGCGCGGGTAAGAGGAGAAGTGACAAATTGACGGAAGCGTCTTTGGTTGAATTACCTTGTAGTGGGCGGGCAGGGCCGGATCGACGACGATGCGTCGATTGCCACAGCAGGCAAATCGTTTGTTTTCCGCTTTGTCGTCTCCCTCGGCGTCCGGTTGTTGCTGGCTTTTGTCGACGAACCAATCCGGTGTGCGAGCGTCGCTGCCATCGCGTCGTGAGAATCGCCGGAAGCGGATGGCGGCCTGCAATGATGCTGCGGCGCGCTTCAATCGTCCACGCATCGCCGACAATGGTCGTCTTGATGAATCCTGCAAAGATAAAACAAGAAATTTAAAAAAAATTGAAAGTTTGATGAGGGAATCAATAATTTTAATCACTTTTAATAATAATTTTAGTAAAATTTTAGTAGCAAGTCCAGAATATAAACTTATTTCGCATATTTGGTTTTTATCTAATAAGTTTTCCAGTTGCAGGAATTTTAATGCATGGTTCAAATTGCTTTCTGTGTGAAATAATATAATTCTGCACATGATGAATGATTTTAATCAAACTTTTTGAACAAATTTAGTAATTTACTTAAAATCAAATCAAAATTCTTGTTATTTTTCAGTATAAAATCAAATTATGCGTTCTTTTCCTTAATAATCACAGCATTAAATTGGCACAAAGTGCACACTCGGTTTTTTGAACTCGATTTGCATCATGTTTGAAAGCTCTCAAAAGCTCGTGCATGCATCCCGAGAAATGAGATTTTGCCGGATGTAAATGCTTCAAAAAACCTCGCTGTCTGCGCTAAATGAATCGATCGATCCGTACCCGACAACAATCCCATTATTTGTATCGCCACTCTCGCGCGTGTCGTGCATCACACTTCAGAGGTATCCCGAAACCGTCCGCAGGGATGTCATATAGGTACGTATACCGGACAGTTTGTAAGCTCGTGCGTCCCGTTCGGCCGGATTTCGGCGTTATCCGCATCTCGACTATTTCCTGCCTATTACGCGAATAATATGTGCGGCAGTTCCGGGTCCGTGTGAAACAATAGTTATTGCTGCTTCTTCTGCTTCGTCCTTTCGGTAGCGCTATCCTGGCCGACACGTTCGGCGGTAATCAATTTAATCTTTAATGTCCGCCGTTTGTCCGTCCGCAAATAAAAACTTGCCCGTGCAAAGCAATCGGTTTTTATTACGTCGGAAATTTTCCGCTACCGCGCAGTAAATGTTGATCCAACTTTGTACTTATGTCTTTATTTGCTCTCCAAAAATAATACTATTGCAGTTCTAAAGCATCAAAAACAAATTTTCTTTTTCTACAAGAAGATTTAGCATGCGGATGAATGTAATTTTTAAATAAATGCACATCTGTTCCTTAGTACACAGAAAAAAAGATGAAAATACACAATAAACTTCGAGACCCTTTGCTAATAAATAACGTTTTTCGTTTAGCGGCGTTACGCGTGATGATAAACTCGGCCGCGCTTCGAAAAACGAAAGACCATTTTTTACGAGCATCCTTTCGCTGGCCCATCGAGATATAGATATTATGGAGAACGACGCCATATTTATAATAAGCGTACAAATAAACTATACTGCGCACATTATGCTCTTGGATGCCCTCCCCCTTCACCGCGCCGAAGACCTCCACGAGTCTTTGTGTGCGTCGTAATATTTTTTTATGTCTTCGACCATAAAACGCATTGGCGCTCTCACTCTCTCAAAGAAATCATCGATTTCTGCGCTCCGGAAGACCAAAAAACACCTAAAGGTTTTATTGGCACGTTGTGCAAATTTAAAACATTTTCGTAACGTCGCATAATCTAATCACAGGGAGCGCGCTTGATGACGAAACTTTTTATCGTGGCACTTGTGCCGCACCTCTGCTGAGTGATAAAATGGTTGGCGGTGATGCGGGGGCACTTTGGTTTCCGGCAGGACACAATCAACCTGCCGGTGCGATGTGGGATGTATTGCGGTGGGCGCACAAAAAGCTCACGGACGTTTACTCCTTGCTCAGGCCGCTGTTATCTCAATATACGGCGATAAGAGGATGTAGGGGTGACGATAAATCACTTCGTTGTGAGCCTTGTGAGCTCGACCACATGCGATAGAGATAAATGGTCGTCGACTTTGTAGAATGACAATTTCGTTTTTAAGTCAACACTACTGGATACCAGATGGTGCTAACAAAGGATTACCGCGTAATTGTAAAATATATGGAGGCCTCGTGTCAGTTTTAACAACTTTGAGTTTGAGGGAAAGTTTAAAACTTGAAAGTTTGGATAGAAACAGATAATATCTCACAATATTTAACCTACAAAATTAGTTTTAGATCTATTATAAACTACTTAAACTGTATTAACTTAATTTAATGGGAACTATTAATGGGAAAAACAAAGCTAATGGTGCAAAGTTTACAAAATTTAAATAATCAAAATTTGAATGCAAAAAATTCAATTTAGCGATTTTTTTTAACTTCAGAAATCAATATAGGTGACGGTTTAAAAATTGTACAAAAAATCATTGATTTTTTGCAAAAAACCTGCGTAATTTCCACGTAAAATATATCTTTATGTCATCCACACTTGTTATTTCGACGAAATTATTAGTAATATATTCTAATGATTTAGCTCATTTGTACTGATTTATGATGACAAATTGTTATTATCTGTTATCGCTAAAAATCTCTGTTGTGTAATCAATCGCAATCGGCGAGCCTGCGCGACTATTTTTTTCTCTCCAACGCGAGCGCTGGTTGATTTATAGCCATCCGCTCGCTTGTCATTTGTTAACCCGAGCGCGCCGAGCGAATATTTCCATATTTCAAAGATGAGCGCGCAACAAATTCCAACTATATTTCTCTTTCCTCGGCACTCCACTCGTGCAGCTTGTTAGCGCCGGCAACCAGTGTGTGTGCGTAGGAACTCTTCATATTCACATTGTTAAAATTATATAATATAAGTAATTTATTTATGAATTTCACATCGCATTCAATAACAAGCGCATAGCTTGAGGTTAGAAGGCGTAAAACGAGAGTATATTCGATGATTAGATTCTTCGCTTGGTGTGTATGATATGTTGGCTGTCTGTCACGAGCACACATTCGCTATTTCCGAGAAAAAGAAAATTTCCTACCACACCGCCGCCGCTCGACGTCGAGATTACCAGGTCAAACATTATTACATTTTCGCAACATTTTATACGCATCCATTAATATTAATATATATGTCGGCCGCAATCAGCAATATTAAATTCTTGCTAACTCTTTCAAATTGAGATTTATTGCGAGCCAAACGAAAAATTGTTGATGTATCTGTGTGGAAATTTGTAAGTGTTTAAAGTTCGAGTTGAGATTGAGAAGAGAAATTAACGCTGACAATCACTTTCTCTTCAATTATAACTTGGCATGCGCATGGAGCCATGCTTAATTGTGTTATTCCGAGTTGTGAACTGCGCGAAAACCCACACAGAATTGTATCACTGTGTTTTTGGCGTTGGGCGCAAGCGAAAATGAGTTTTCAGTGTTTCACTGCCGCTAAGCTTTTTAATACCGCAAATTATTTTCATCTCTCTCCTCGCTTCAATATCGTAAATTTGACGTGTGCTTACGCATCCATACGCGATCGATACGGACGTAACGCACAAAGCTTCTTCGATGATGAATTGCGTTTAATCTCTCCGCGATCATCTCTGAACAAACAAACTGTTTACTTTGAGCTCTTACATTTTGTAAGGTAGGAATAGCTCCGTCGGCCTCGCCGTCCGATAGAGAAGTCTGAATGCGGACGTCGTCGAGGGCATCGCGTGAACCATCGCGCGATATCGTCGTTGAGATGAGACCCTCTTTGGAATGGTTGGAGATGCGGTCGCGCGAGCAGTTGCGGAAGAGCACCGCGTTGATACCGCCGCCGCCGTCGTTCTGCAGGTGTTCGCGCGCATAAGCTGAGCCTGCGAGGGCGCTATTACGCGCCGCGTTGTCGTAGTCTCTGGTGGCGTAGCCGCCGCCGCTGCCGCCGACGCCGGTTGTGCGGCTACCGCCGCTCAGGCCGTCGCGGCACGGCCCCGGCCCGCTCGATTGGATCGTGAACACGGAGCCGGAGGGTGGACGCCTACGCGGGTCACCTCGCGCTGCCGCCATCACGTAGCTCCACATCGCTGATGGGCATGGCACGTATCCCACGCGCAGCGACTGCGGACAGAGAACAAAAACAACAAATTAGTACAAGTTTCATTTCTCTTTCATACTCTATAGTTACAAAAGGCTTAAAATTGAGGTTATGTGTATGAATACATTTCTAAAGCGTCATTTAGTGGTACAAAACAGTGAATTAAAGTAAAAATACTGTGTATAACTATGCAATACCTAATTACAAAATATAAACTTTGAAGCAACCCTAAAAACTCATTGTTTTCCTTGTGGAATTTTATAGCTCCTCCCGAAAATCTCTAAAATTAAGCAATAAATTCACATTCCACTGGAATGCTTCCTTCTTCACGAGAAACTTCGTCTGCGCTCAGTACATGGAAGATAGTTTTACGATTTTCGAACGTTTTACAACCTCGATGGCAATAATTTCGTGTGCGACATCCTTCGTCGCTCCCTCGCGCATCGATTCAAAGCTTTTCGGCGTTTTTGCTACCGCGCGCGCGATGTTCTTGTTTTTCCAACGCCGTCGACACTCCACAGAGACAACAATGGCCTGGCAGTCAGCAGATTGTTCTCCTCTACTAGACGCTGCCAAATCAAGGACGAACTGGTGTGAATGCCCCGCGGATAGTAAAGTAAACATCTGCAAGAGCTACTTCAACTTGATTTGCATATCGGACAAAAGCACAATGGTTCAATCAAATCGAAGTTATCACAAAAGCGACAGTTTGACAGTTCTTGACAGTAAACTAGATCGTATTAAATAGTTCGTTGAATAGCGGTAGTCTTAATAGAAAATCTATACGTTAATTGAGTGTTGTGTCATCGAACTGAATAGGCTGAAACGTGTTGAGAGTAATTTGGTGTAATTACTGCAATAAGTGAACTCGCATCGGGCGCCCAATACCAGTTATTATGGTTGCACACCATTTGGAATGCGATTATTCGAGTTGGTTATTAAAGAGGCGGAATTCATTGCAGGCGTGCACATTACGTACTGCCGCCAGCCGCCGCCAGTCAGTGGACTGTGAACATAAAACGCTTATCGAACCCAATGAATCTTCACTGACTGTTGCAGACGAAAAACGACCACAAGTTCGCCAATGACAACTTTTTTTTTGCTTGCAAGATGTGATGAGATGAAAAACTGCAATATGTGATAAAAGTTTATTTTATGGATGAAGATTTACAAGAAAAACGTTCGCATATCAGTTAAAATCACTTGTGAGGTTAATAAAACCAGCAACCCGCAATGCATGGGAATCGTTTGGTTAAACTTAGCAAAAAGAGTGTTTTATGCGTGTTGAATGTGCGGATAGTTCGCACTTTGGTTTTAGTTTTCAGTCGTAACAATGGAGGAAAACATGCTATCGTCCATAAAAGCGTTAAAAACGAAGCAAATAAAGCGAATCACGTCCGTTCCATTATTCCACGTGTGACGCACTCGCGCGAGATGCGATAGCCTCGGCCATTGTAATCCGACACTCTCTCTGGTGGATATGTTTCGCCCGAGTTTACAACCCCGACGCTGCACTTTCTTTGCTTACGCGTGGCGGAAAACCCGGGAGGAGCAAAGAATGCGCATTTATACAAACAGCGAAAAGCTGTGTTTCTGCTTACGTCCCAAAAACCCGAAATGCGTATGTACTGCCAAGATGAATGAATCGTCGGCGGAACCCTTAGCTCGGTTTTCCGGTCGTTGATTTACAGGAAACAGGATTGGACCCATAGCGACAACAACTGAACTTTGCTTTGTTCTATTCAAGCTGGAAAATTTATGAAATTTTCTGCTTTTAATTCTGTCCAAGTGTAATATAGTAATAGTCAGCTTTTTTTTCAATTTTACTTTGTCCATTTTGTTACAACTTCAAAAGATTTTCTTCTGTAAAAAAGTGTGACCAAAAAGCTTAATAAAGTTTGATTAAATTTTCGCTAACCTGGTTGGCATCTCGTCTAGTGTCGAGACTTGTTTCATAGTTGCACCGCGTGCGAAATTCTCGTCGAGTTTTTATTTTTTTGGCGAGGTTTTTGGCTCGGAGCGTGCAAAGAAGACACAAGTGGACAAAACTTTGCGGGTTCGGGTACAATCGAACGAATCGGGCGTTAACAATTTAATGCGCATTGTGTCTCCGGTCCATTTTGTCATCTTGTGGTGGCAGTTTTCCTCCTTTCCTCTCCGCAAAGTGTTACATAACGTTTTTACATATTCCGATCTCATATGTGCTTTATCCCTGCACCCAATCGATTTTTTCTACATTCACGCTCGACATATTCTCACATAAAATTGACAATTTAGTTATTTCTGTAATTCAACAAACAACGAACGCGTGTGCATCATCAGCGAGCATCAAACGAGCCATAAATACTCGCCGCAGCTGTGCGTAACGATGTGCACCTCCAGTTTTCCATTTGAGAAAATCTCTCCCGCGCGATATGAATATCGAATATCGTCCATCTCGTCGTATCTTGCATGCCGATTAGCTTGAAAATTTAATATTGCCGGCGCGAACGAATTCGAATGATGGAGCGTTGGACCGCGTGAGCGGATTTGTGCGAAAGTGAGTATCAAAAATCTGAATCTCAGATTCAGTCATGCGTGGTTTATGTCGGTGGGTGCATTTCGGGTTTTATCTTGCTGGCGGACGAGGTCGATTTATGACGCGCCACAAGCAGGTACCGGAATTGCAACCACAACCGAACGAATCATTTTCGGCGGCAATTTACTCATGCGTGGCACCATGGGGAGCCGCTGTGTTGGTCTGATTTGCATTTGAATTGATTGTTGACTGGAGGAGGCTTCATTTTGGGTGGTTGTACCTTTTCGACTCAACTAATTCTACATAACCTGGTTTCCATTGTTTCCGGCTGGTTAAACCGTTTAGGTAGGTTTAACATAACCAAACAAATACTTTTAAAGTTAGTTTTGCTTACTCCTCTTGACAATTGCGACAATCGAATGGAAAATAGTTTCTAGGAATAGTCCTTTATCCCGTTGGTAATACCAGTCGACATCAATACGCATTGAATATTTGTAAATACAAGACTATTGTGTAAATTTATTTGGATTCGTGGAAAGTCGAGGACAGTCACAATGCAAGCAATTGAACGCACAGAGATTACTAGTAACATTTTCATTCTTCCTGAAACCAACATCTACCTAGTAAATTATTTATCAATAGTCGGGTGTAGTTCCTAGTGCGAAGCTAGAGTTAATAATGATTAGGGTCTATTTACTCTTAACTGCCAACCGCCCGTTTCCGATTTATTCAATTTGCAAAACCACTGCCAAATCCCAATTCCCAGTGCCAGCAGTCACTTAATTTGCAATTAGTTATCCGGATGGAAATCGATAATGCCGGTTGAACTAAAATTTAATCACTAAATTATATGATGCATACCTATATCTAGGTGTGTTGGTACTAAGTGTGTAAAATGAATGCCATGTATGTTTTTGTTATGCTAGAGTAGAACAATAAAGCAAAAGAATGAAAATACTTGTTTGTCTACGCGAAGCTTTTGAAGATTGAATTGCAGATTAAAAGAATGCGGTGCGCTTGCCGCAAGCGCATCTAACACCCTTTGCAAATGCGTTTCATTTGCGTGAAACTCACCGAAGAAATTTCATCAAAACCGCGCGTTGGTAGAGTGCACTCTGCTTAAATTGCGATTTGTCTTCGCGGTTTGCTCGCGGTATTGGCGAGCAAGCGAGCGATTGTTTGCTGAATGTAAAAACGTGCGCAATAAACATTATTAAAAGCTTGCCTTTATTAATATAACGTTGGCTTTTTGTATTGTGTTTGCTTTCATCCCACAATTGTTTTCCTTTTCATGATATTAAATATAAATTATGTAAATGATCATTAGTATCGCATCCAATTCATGGATTAGTTTTTGTTGTTGATCTATTTTGAGTGATTACTTAAATTATATTTTGCGTTTGTCAGATGGTTTGAAACCTGGTATTGGAAATCATGTGTAATTCTGTTATTTACGCTTCCGCAATGACTGTCGAATGTCGATAGTTCAAAAGTAACTGCCGCGGCTTCGAGTGTAAGACGTCGAGTTCAGTTTACGGGAGAGCACGTCTTTGCTACCTCGAGTCGTTCGATTCCTCGAAGCGTTTTGCCATTCGGAAATCGTATTAGGACGCGCGTGGTAGTCGTCATCCTTAAATTACCACCTTAAATCGAATCGTTTTGCTACGTTTAGCTACTTCCAATAGTTCACGAGGCGGTGCCAGCTTCGATTTCGATTCTACATAAGTTACCACATTTTGAAATTGCATTTATCAAAGTAAAAGGTTTCGTACGCAGATTGGGAATACATAATTATTAAAAAAATTTAAACTTCTTTCAACCTTGTATTGAAACTTAAGAAACACACCTGTTTTGGTGACTCACACGTATTTCCCGCTGGAGCAGCTTCCCCCACCACTTTTTGCGGGTAGTGCGCAGATCTACGTTCTCTTCTCCTTCCTTTGGACTTAAATTTGTCATGGGTCGACTTGTGGTGTTGGTTGAGTATTGTTTGAGTTGATAACAAGCAAAATCATTGTCATTCAAAGGGGAACTTGGCAGCAATCAGACTTAAGTGGTTCATGTAAACTATATAATCGATTGATCAAAATATTCAAATATGTTTAATTTTAAGAGATACCAAAGAAAAGCAATTCATTTCTATATTTATACGTAGATCACTCTTAAATTACCTATAAGAAGTAATTTAATAAACCACGTGCTCTGTTTATAAAATCTAGAATTTTCTTCTTTGAAAGTGAGTGGGTGCAGCTGCGGCAGCTGTATGAAGACGTAAAAAAACAAAATGTCCTTGGCATTGTTTTCCCTACACCACCTACGCATCGCATCGCATCGACTCGATGGAATCCACTGGAATAATAAGTGCGATATGCTCGTCCTGGTAGCACACACTTGACGGATTTGTTTTTGCCGCCTCACGAGTGTTGTCAGCGGCAGTTTCGGCAAATTCGTGAATGAGCACGAACAAACAAGACTGCGCAAGACACCCAGATTTTGACATCTGCA